ACCTGTAAGTGCAGGTATAAACATCTAAATGTAATACGAATGAAAAGATTTCTTTCCCAAAAACTAATAATAGATACTAGATCTAAATTACCTAATTATAAGAACATTTGTAATATAAATTTTAAATAATATGCGTGTATACTTTTAAATTACATTTAAAATTATAACTACAACACGTTTAACATTTAAATTAATATAATTTATCTACAAATGAAACCAAAATATTGAAGGTGTATCTAAAATTAATGGCTCATTCACAGTAATCAATGTTTATTTGCAATGTGGTCAATGCAAATAGCATTCATTAAACATTTTGAACGTTTAACAGCATTACATTAAGACTAAATACAATATACGTCTATTCGTTTCTAATTAGTTTTAAGAATGCTTTGTTTTGTATCTGTAATTTAATACCTAGTAATTTAAGATTTCACAACCATTTTTCCTTACACCGTTTACATGGTCCAGACTAGAATTAAAGTTGTAAGCACACAAAAAGTTCTGTGCAGAAATCCAAAACGGTTTACTTTAGTATAACTAACTACATCCAGTCACTAATCTAGACTAACAGTCAAAAAGAATAATACATATCAATAATATAGAAAAATATGACCATCACTGACATAAATTTACGTAGATACGCAATAGCCCCACAAGCCCGAAACAGATAGTACAAAAGATTTTGCATACGATATTAGCAACAAAACATTCAACGAACATAAAGAAATCGTCCTCTTCCAGAACCAACAACACGAGATAAAATGTTCCAATCTATTCCAAATACCTGAACGTTTGATTCCAAAAAGCGGTTTGACGAAGGTAAGCCTCCTTGGAGGGTGCTCAACCCTTTTGTCTCCTGAGAATACAATGGACCATCGCAATGGTTTGAAGACGCGACATGGGACACCCTCCACTGACTACGTGACTAAATTTTAAGCAAAATGTTTTGTGGCCAACCCATATACGAAATTGGTAATGTCATCTTGTGTTGTTCGGTGTCGTGTGTCAAATACTATTGTGTAGGGGTAGCGAAAATAGCTCGGAATTGTCGGAGCTGTTCAGAAAATAAATGTGAAGATAATACTAGTTGTAGACAACTCAGATAAGTAATCCGAATCCAAAATAAAAGTCAGAATACTTTATACGAATAAAAACTATCTACTACAATTTAAATTTTGTTGACGAACACGAACAATGCTGGACATGGAAAAACCAAAATGGCACGGTTCAGTAGTATTGCCAATAGAACTTGCGATCAAATTAAACGACAGAAACAAAAAACAAGGCTAAAGTTAGAAGGCATCAAACGCGTGGTCAGTGAATCAAAGCGGTCAGGTTGTTCGCCCAAGTTTCGTCTAGTCCGGACGTGGCACCGTCTGCCTCCTTCGCTTATTGTGTGATTCTTTTTACCTTTTTTGCCTTTGCTTGGTTAAGTGCACTCTTTCTTTCAACTCGGCCTGTGCGTATTTTTTGTATGCTCGCCACTAGCATGGACATTTGCCTCTCAGACTCATCCAACTCACTCTCGGATCGTTCTGAGTGTTTCAGTTCATGGTCACTTAAGTTTGAAATAGCGAGCTCCCTACTTTAGTTAAATATTATGTTCTTTTGTGTTTGTAGTCGTTTCTTGGGTTGTAACGACTTTTGTTTGGCTTGGTGGACTACAGTTTAATTTAGGATCGTTTTAACTTTAGAATTCTAAAGCATTAAGGGGCTGGCTTTAGTGCTCTGTATTATCATTGAAGAATTGTTATCTCTGTCTAGAATACTTTATTAGTACAATTGTATAAGTAGCCAGTTAAGATTCTAGAGCTGTTAAAATTATAGCCTTAGAATAATAAAAGCAGTTCCTTGTTTATAATATTATATTTATTTGAATCCAGTAGAAGTTTCATTCCTTTGAAACGGAGCTTTCTGGTGTAATAAATCATAATCACTATAAAATCAAAACATTTACCACGCATAACTACTACGATTAATCAAACACAATTTTGCTATTTGCCAATACCACTTGCACAAATCATTCGGCTCTATATTTTATTTGCAAATGTAAACTCCCCTCGGCGTAATGGAAAACGATTGGTGAACTCGGGGGCGTTTGCTACGGCTCAAACGTCATCAAAAGTGTCAATCACGGATGTTTTCGAATAGCGAAAACCGATTATCGAGCGTATTAAGTCGGTTATTGTTATCGAGAGAGCCGTCCCGATCAACAGACCGTGAACCAGATTAGGGACATCATAATATGCCCATATTTTGGCGTCAGCTGCATACGTCGCATGCATGTCTACATTCATATTTTTTGTTGAAATTCTTATTAAATTTTACATCCCATCTCCCTTTAGGGAAACACGATCGTTGTAATAATATTAGTAGGCTGCTTTACAATTCTATTGTGCAATTATATTCAGCATATTTGCATCCGATTTACGTGTAGTTTATGTTTAAGTATATGCCATAAATCGTGAATATTTAAAATATCATATTACTATTGCAAATTAACTCGTCGAGTACCGGTTTTGTAGACACAATTATAGAACAATAGGTTGCGGTCACCGGTGACCGCTTGGTGTTTGACAGTTTAAACCAGTAAATAAAACATTTTACAAATATTAATATTTATACAATTTCTCTACATTTATTACCCGTACCTTTCAATATTCGCTACTTTTTTTTGGGTTAAATTATTTCACATTCATCAAATTTTATTGAGACGCGGCGCGTGGCGGTGCAAAAATTGTAGAATGCAATTTGAAATCCTAAACTTCGGAACTTATTTAAAAAATTGTGCAAAGCATTACGAAAATATTTGAACGTGAAAATGCAATTGGAACATTTTGATTGTATCAAATAATAAGTAAATTAAACCCCAACATGATATTTTAAATAGCAGCCATTATGTATGAAAAGTACATATTCTACATACATCCTTTCCGGATAGGATTATTCAGATACCGCACGCCATTGAGGCTACAAACTACAAATAATAATAATAAAACAGCCGAAATTAGTAGCGTGTTGCTAATTACAAGGGTTGAAACCTTCGAATACCCAACGCGAATAAAGGGATGAATAAGTTTGTGATAATTCTTTGGTGGAGTATTCAAGCGGCCTGTCATTAGTAGAACCAGTGTTTTAGGAAAGTTGGCCAGGCGTGCGGACGTACAAACGTACATAATGTATAGACAACGTTAAATAATGTCACATAAAAGGGTCACGTTCCACTGAATACTTTTTAAACGGTCGAGTTTAATATTTTTGAGTGGACATGTTCGTTTTGTGGTTTTATGTAAATGGCACTTTCGGTCTATTTTGTTAGTAAGACGTGTAATTTTATGAGTTGGAGTAGCTATGATAAAATTAGACCTATGTGATATTTGAAGCAAATTGAACGCAAAAATCAGTTCACCATATTGCCATCCTTGAAAACTAAATTATAGCTTTTAGACTATAATCACTGACCATCAATGAATTTACATTTACAACATAGCATAACAACACGCCTTTTATCCCCAAATAGGTAGGCAGTTTAGTAGTGCACACAGAAGTGACACCCACTTTTCACTATTAATGTTATGAGTCCCATATAATAGGGGTTGAGCCTATTGCCATTTTACAATTACTGAAGTAAACCATCAACATAGATTTGCTAGTTTTCCTGGATTTCTAAAAGAAGGAATTATCCAATTTATTGCACTTACAAATCATCGAAAATTGTTATTTAAACGTTAGTTCGTTGGACCTTAACATGCTCTACAAACAAACCGTATCAATATCATCATAACGCCATTATCCTTGTTATCAACGACATTAAAATCTATGTCCAATCCGCGGTTTCATAAAGAGTTATTAATTAAGTGCAGCTATGGTTAATGACACAAGTTTGGAATTCATTAAGCCCCTACAAACTGTTTAAGCCCATATTGTTTAGTGGTAGCGGTAAATTTAACATTAATATTGCGGTTTAGGATGACCAATACTCTAACCCTAGTAAAGCCACAACAGTAATAACAATAATTTTGAATTGTCACCTGTAAAGTAAATTGTGTAATTGGAGCGTTAATTTATTGAGAAGTGCCAGTAATTGGCGACAGATGGTGGTGTTTAGAATATGGTTTTGTAATGTTATTAATTTTTAAAGTATAAACAGAAAGTACTTACTTAGACTATGACATTTTTAAATAAGGAATAATATATGGAATTTACCAGTTCAAAATGATGTGTCAAATTTTTGCTCATAATTTTAACAAAAGATTTTTTTAATGAACAAGTACATATTAAATACGTATCAAAATAGAGTGTAGTACATAACGAAGAAAACATTTACTTGTAATTCAATTTATAAATTGAACAACATTTTGTACATTTCGTAAATTGTACATTCATTTATATCAATGCCAAATCAATCAATCTTTTATGTAATACACAATATAGAAATCATTATTTCACAAGTCAAAGGGGAAATATTAACTACAACTGTATTAAAATCTTCACTCTCAACGTCACGGGGAGCGCAAAGAAACAAAAGGAGAACTCTATCCTTTTCTCTCCCCTATATTTACATATATTTCCCTCTCACTTCACATCATGTACCCTTGAAAGCGTCTCAATTTTGAATGTGTTAGTGATAGGAGTACTTGTGACACGTTTGTGGGTGTGTTCGTTGTGTATGTGTGTGTGTGTGTGATTTGGACATTTTGAGTCATCTTTGTGATTCATGTATCTTGGATTTGGTTTTATACTTTTTAATGATGTCAGGTAAAAAAGAATTATTGTTTGACTAATGACTCAATTCATATGAGTTTTAGCAAAAAATATTAAGTAATGTCTCTTTCTTGTATTCGTAATTTCGAACAAACTTAGAAGCGTTTTTTTTTTATTCTTGGTTAAGGAAAAAATAAGCTTTATTCAGTGCATTTTTTTGTATATGGTATACTATTTTATTTTTTCTTAGAATCACTTAATATATGTCTAACTTAGTCCAAAATCAAAACACTTACCTCGCCTGTGTCGCATATGATATTTGCTCTTCGTAATGGTTCCAGAACAGCAAGGTTGCTCATAGTAAAAATTATAAGAATTGTCCACTTCAGTTGTCTGTTGCACTGTCTGAGAATTAACGTGCCAACTCACGCCGATCAGCATGAGAATGGACCATCTCACGACCACAGCTAAGGCATCCATAGTCCGAATATTCACCTCAAACATAGTTTTTCTAATCACAAACACTAACCACCAAAAGTTTTAAAAAGTCAACGCCTCAAATCCACGACATTTTTCCGTTTCGTCTGCAAATAAAGACAACCTTTGTAAATCTGACCTTGATCTTAGGCAACCAAACTCCGGCTTATTCTGCCTCATAATACTAAACTAAAAGGAAACCATAAATACATTTCCAAGGCATTACTCATACAGGCAAAGATAACCTTTGTAAGCTGATTACGCCTAGCTTTTAGGCCTAAATTCCGTCTGGCTAACCGACGCGACGGCTGTTGTTAATAATTAAAAACTAAATCTACTTCGTTTGGTTGAAATTAAGTTAAAGTAATTACTTGCTAAAAGTACTATGAACTTGCAATTAATTTAGATTAGGCTAAAGTAATTAACCCACCTATGGCTTTGCCAATCATTAAATTTTGTTATACTCGATGTTTTGTGTTGTACATTTATTAACAACCGAAACATAGTAATTAGTTCAGTTTAGATAGGTAGTGTAAGTAATTAAGCGTAATTAATTCAACAAAATGCTTGTTTCAAGTACCTAAATAAACATTATTTCGTTTTTATTTCATAAAGTATGTCAAAAAATGTCTAGGTTATAAATTATCGAAACCACCATTTGGTCTATCATTACATTCCTTTGTTCATACAAAACAATTTGATACCATAAAAAAAACATAATTTATCATTCGAATCTATCAAACACAATCAGAACCAACAGATATAGCAACAAATGTCACCGATACTATGACTCTGAATAAAAATATAATGAAAGAGATAAAACTAAATTATAGGGAACGAGAAAAAAAACATTGCGTACGCCTATATGACAATAAAAATGACAATTCTGCTTGTTGAGTTTACATTAAAAAAGTAGTATAGTATGGGGTAGCTTAATGGCAGCAAAGACCATTACACGAGCCGATGGCATTAAACACACCTCTGTAATGGAAACCGCATGGCGATATGCAACAGGGGTATATCGGCTACCCTTTATTGCGGTTAACATAGAAAATACTGTATTTGCTTTGTTTTTAATTGCCACGCGCTAGATATTCGGCTGGGCCGTTATAGGCCTTTAATTGCAAAATTATGTTTGCTTTGCAGGGATTCTAAATGGTTTAGGGATAGGAAATGATTGCCATTAATGTTTATACAGTCGTTCTTTATATTTTAACCTTACGCAGTTACTAGTCAGGTAGCGACTAAACAAAAATGGGATCAATAAAGCAAACAATACCTAACATTAATATAGTATCATCAAACAAATGAAGATATAATAATAGAAAGTATTTTTGGACCAAATAATACGATCGTATATCGTATATGAAATTGGACTTCAAACATGAGCGTGCGTCACATTGGAAGTTAATCCATTACATTGGTATTATCAGTAATGATCTGCTACCCTCACAGATGATTACCTAAAGACATCGCTGAATAAGTAAATAAATGTCTTCTACTAAATTTAACTCCAATCTTTCGCAGCGGTCGTCATGTGACCGATATCTTTGAACGCGGTCAGGGATCGCTCGTTGAAAGAGTCCAGAGATGAATTAAATAGATAGGACCCTTCAAAAAAGGGACTATGAAAGGGATAGAAACGTGTCGAGTTAGTGGGTTTACCCGAACTGGGATACGGAACTTAGTACATCTTTTATTCTAGTAAATATTTAAACGTGTTCGACAAGACTCGTTTGATTGACATTCAATAAAATAGACTGGCGTTAATACATTTTCAACAAACATTAGCGCTATCGCTTTTTTTAGTATTGAACAAATTGACCGGATAAGATAAAAGCGTCTGGCATGAGGTTGGTTATAATTTCAAATCTCAAAATGTAATTATTGTAGTGTCGGTTTTATTATCCAGCGTTACAATAAGTATATGAATCGATATAATAGCATACCAATTTCAGACGAAAACGTTGTATTCAGTAGAATGTATTTTATGTATGAAATATATAATATTATTATCCTTCGTCCTTAATGTACATGATGATGGACCCTCGGCTAGAGGTTGTCATACAGGAGGGATTCAAAAATTTTATTTCGAATGATTAATGATGTCGGTTATACTTATCACATCTCTACGGGTTAAACGCCTGAGCGATTTTTGTTCAATTGACAGTAGATCCTTTGGAGTAAATATTTCAAATCTCCCCCATTTTTAAATAACACTTTAAGGGTATCAACATTAAAACTCATTTCTTATTTTGTTTTTATCCCTAGGGATCAGAACGTACTATGAGATTCGTTTGAAATGATAGATGAATTTTTAAATCGGTTCAATTTTATCATCCTAGTTTTCTAATGTAAATAAGATGGACGTTTTGGTTAAAACTATAAAATCTGATAATTTTACGAAGCTATTTTAATATTCGGGGTTTAGAAACGTTGATCAAGTGATACAAAATGGCGCCTAGCATCCGATAACAATCAATACAAACACGTCTCAAGAGGTAAGATCTTAATACAAATATTTAAGTTAACGACCTGGTCGTGCGTTAAATATTTCTACGAAAAAAAAATTGAAGCTTCTGTCGTAATTCGTAGCCCCTCGGCCATCGGAACCGGTTCTATAATGATGTCTTCATTACCAGGTGATTCACTACGACTTTGGTCATGAACGTTGATAGGCGATTTTTTATCTTGTAAATTATTATTCTTTCTCTCCGTATCTACATCCTGTATATAAGATTCCATTTTTTGATTTATGAACCTGTTCCGTGCTTTTAATTTATAATTTGATTTTTTATTTATGACATCTCTAAGTTCTCTAATGAAGCTTACAACGCCTTTTTTGTTTATTTTCATCACATTATGTTCACACATTTAATCGAGTATCAAACACGAGTATGTTTCAAATATTAAATTTACATTAAAATCTATTTTAGTAAGGGTTGTAAACTGTCTAGACCATTCTGGGGTTTGCCTAAAATAATTTAATTAAAACTTTCTCAACAAAAATATCAAGAAAATTTTGTGGAAATATTAAATGTTATAATTTTATTACTGGGGTTCATTAAGCGGATTTAATTTCCTTTAATATCTGTGATCTCGTTTCGTTGTACAATTACACCGTTACTGGCCATTGCACGACAGCCTCTGCTCATTATGAGCGAAGAATGTTAAGAAATTTCATCCGACAAGCCATTGAGGCAACCCTCCCAATTGTATGAAGGTGTTCCAATTGAATGGTAGGTGGAATGGGGTACGATTATAATGAAATTTCGCCTCGATAAAGACCAGTGAGCTTCGTAACACAATACTCGATGTTTCCTCCTGAACCCGTATCCATATCACGTCATTAAACCTGGTAAAAATATCTGCCGACACATCTTAGTTAAGCAAATTAACATTTACTCGCACCACAATTACATTTTAATGGTCTTAATTATTTTAGTGGAGTTTTGTTTGAAATTTTGTAGTAGAAATGCAAAGTGATATTAATTATAGTAGGGAATTCTGAAATGATTTGTTTTGTTTTAATTCTTTAGCTATGTTTCTCTTACTTTAATGTTATTAGTTACAGCCGATTTTTCCAACGGTGGAATAACTTTGAATATTTGACAATTCTTCCATACTAAAAACTGTCAAATGTCAATTTTATTCTACAGTTAAGAATTACCTGATGATTGGAAATTCGGTCCTTAGGGTACTTTTTGTAAATGTGATTTAAAGAGTGATGAAGTTCCTACACTACCATAAGATTTGATTTGAACTTAAAGATTGATAACATGACAAAATAATATCTGTGTGATTTTTATAATAACTATCGTGAGACATACCTACTAAATAAAATAAAATTTGCACGTGAGTAACCCGCGACTTTTAGTTAATCGGTGTGATCTATGTGATGTGTTTAAATAATATTACTTACGTTTAACAATTATCACTTACGTAATCTTTGAAATCAAGCCACATTCATTGAACTACAGAGACACTAACAAATTCAATTGAATGTTAAACTTATACATTCACATCAAAGAATATAAAGCAAATTGGATTGAATTAGAGATAACGTTAAAACCAATTTCGAATACACTAAATAATTAGAAATCATGTTTAATTTATCATCTAACTTGTTAATTAGGAGATACTGTACAAATAATTTAAGCGTGAAATGTATCAACTAGGTATTTCTTTATTGTGTTTCAATTTGTCACTGTCAATAGTAACAACTAGGTATATGTACCTAACACATAATAAAATATAAATATATGTATGTACAGATTATTATTTATAAC